ATTCTTATTTAGAATTTTGGATCTATGTCATGAAGGGTATTAACTTAAAGGTTTTTTTTCCTTCTAATGTCTTCATTAGGTTTTGATACCAGGGTAATGCAGACCTCATAGAATGATTTAGGGAATGCTCCATGATTTTCAGTGTTTCAGAAGATATTCTGTAAAACTGGTAACATTTCTTCAACAATAAAGGCACAGATTAACTGGGAGCCTCTAGCTCAGGATCTCACACAAGGATGCTGTCAAGGGGCCAGCCATTGCTGCAGTCCTCCAAGGCTCAACTGGGTTAAAATCTGCTTCCAACCTCATTGCTATTAGGCATTAGAAGATGTGTTTTCAAGTTCACTGACATGGCTGTTAGTAAGCCTCAGTCCTTGCTGGATGCAGACTAGAAATCGGTTGCTTGCCATGTGGGCCTCCCCACAGGGCAGCTCACAACAAGAAGGTGGCCTCCCTTACCGTGAGCAAGTGAAAGAGTGAGAGAGATCTAAGGAAGGAAGCCAGTCTTTTTGTAACCTTATCCTAAAACTGATACCATATTAATAAGCAAGTCAGTAATTTTAGCCCATATTCAAAGACAGGGAATTTCCCAAGAGTGTGACTATCAAGAGGTTGGGATTAATGCAGAACATTTTAAAGACTGCCTGCTACAGTTGTTCTTTTTTTTTTTTTTTTAAGATTTTATTTATTTATTTGACAGAGATCATAAGTAGGCAGAGAAACAGGCAGAGAGAGAGGGAAGCAGGCTCCCTGCTGAGCAGAGAGCCCCATGTGGGGCTTGACCCCAGGACCCTGGGATCATGACCTGAGCAAAAGGCAGAGACTTTAACCCACTGAGCCACCCAGGCACCCCTGCTATAGTTGTTCTTAACATTACCTTATTATCCTTCTAATATCTGTAGAATGTTGGGTGATGTCACCTCTCTTCCCTTATTTAGGTAGTTATATATTCTACTTTTTTCCCTCCTGATCATTTGAAGTAGAGGTTGGTCAATTTTATTGAACTTAGCAAAGAACTTTGGTTTCATGGTTTGTTTCTGATTTTGTTTTTGTTGTTCTATTTCCTCAATTTCCACTTTCATCTTTATTATTTCTTTTCTTCTGCTTATTTTGGGACTCAATTTGCTCTTTTTTGTTTGTTTGTTTGTTTCATAAAGTAGATATTTCCCCTATTCTAATATGGAGCTTAGTGCTATCATTTCCCTAAAAGTATTGATTTAATGATATTTAACAAATTTTGATATGTTATAGTTTCATTTTCATTCAGTTTAAAATACTTCTTGGTTTCTCTTTGATTTCTTCTTTGACCATGAGTTATTTTAAAGTGTTCTATTTAGTTTCCAAATATTTCAAAACTTTCTAGAGTTCTTTCTGTTATGGATTTCTAATTTAATTCTATTGTAGTCAGGGAACATACTCTGTATGAATTGAACCCTTTTAAATTTAATGAGACTTTTTCTATGACCTAGAATATGATCTATCTTGGTAAATGTTCCATGTGTACTTGAAGAGAATGTGTATTCTGCTGATGTTGGGTGTAGGATTATATAAATGTCAATTAGGAGGGGCGCCTGGGTGGCTCAGTGGGTTAAAGCCTCTGCCTTCGGCTCAGGTCATGATCCCAGAGTCCTGGGATCGAGCCCCACTATCAGGCTCTCTGCTCCGTGGGGAGCCTGCTTCCTCCTCTCTCTGCCTGCCTCTCTGCCTACTTGTGATCTTTGTCTGTCAAATAAATAAATAAATAAATCTTTTAAAAAAAATGTCAATTAGGTCAAGTTGGTTGATAGTGCTGTTCAAGTCTTCTTTATCTTTACTGATTTTCTTTCATAGACTACATTTTTAAAACTTTATCAAAAATGTATCTGCATCTGAACTTGAACATCACTATAATATTTAATTTTATTAGAATATTTTTCTTCCTCTGGTGCTACACAGACACAGACACACACACACACACAAAATCACAAATTTAGAGAGCAAAGAACTGAAATGAAATGATCTGTGATGCTGCACCTTTGAATAAATTTTATCATTTAAGAAAGCACTTTGAAACTAGGTTATTTTATCTTTCCTTGCCTGAACTTGTAAGCTACTTAATTACAAAATATGTTTCTATTCACGGTGCCTCTTATTATTTTATTTTTTATGTCAAGTCATGCTCCTACTGCAAGCAAAACAGGCAGCAAAATCTTTACTGGAATGAAAGATATATAGGTGTTTCTACTACAACACTCTATAAGTGTTCTTATTTTAACAGGATATATAAATGTTTTAAAACGTTGCATTCTACAAAATTGTGTATAAAAATAATGGGTTATGGGAAAATGCTATAGGGCCAAAACAGCTGAAACATATTTAACTTTGTAACCAAAATACTAATAAAAATAATGATCATCCAATTAAAAAGTAGCACTCAGCAAATGTCAATTACCACTATTTGTACTCAAGTCACAGTTGATTTTTGCAGCCTTAAATCTGCAAGATGGAGGTACTAGAGGACATTCTCTTCCAGTAGATAACATTGTCATCCAAATTAAAAATCTGCTCTGGATCTGTGCTTCTTCAACAATTAACTGTTTTTAAACACATGGGAAATACCTTCCCTACTTCTCCATCTACTCCTAGGTAGCTTCACAGCATAGGAGGTACACCATTTCTTTAAGCCATTAAACCAGCTACTACTTGCACTGCAACGGTAGTGAAATATTCTTAGCTTAAGGCTTTCTTCTTTATTTGTAGGAAGGCTTGGCCCTGAATGCTTTAAACCATTGATGTGCTGGGGGAAAATTACATATGAACCAATGATATTATTTTCTTATTTGCCAGGTGGGTATTAATTTGCACTACAGAAACCTGTTGCAGCTGAAGAGACCGTACTCCATAGTTCCCTAACTTTGAAATGCATGATTTTCCCAGTCGTTCTCTTGGCAGTAGTCACCATTGGGATGTAAATATCCTTCCTCCCAGGGTCATTGAAAATATATTTACTGAGCACCTATTATGTTCCAGAGTTTGTTCTAAATGCTGAAGACAGTGGTGAGCATGACAGATGAAGTCCCTGTGCTCACAGACTGTATATTTTAATGGGGGATACAGACAATAGACAGGCAAATAAATAAATATGGTGATATCAGAGAGTTATAATTGCTATGAAGAAAATAAAACAGGGTGATAATTTATGGAATGAAATACTGGGGTTGGGTGGTCATTCTGTAGATAGGCTACTCTGGATAGAATGATCAGAGAAGGCTTCTCCAAAGAGATGACTTTTGAACCAAGACCTATAAGATGAGAAGGAAACAGTCATGGGAAGACCTGGAGAAGACTATTAGGCAGTGGGAACATAAGGGGACTGTAAGTAAAAGGACTTGAGGTGGGAGCAGACTTAGTGAATTTGAGGAACAGAATGAAAAGTGGCTGGGCAGCATCAGAGGTATACTAAGGTTTGATTGCCATGAGTCACAACCACACTGAGGTTAACAGAGGCATTCAAGTCACTGCTATTTAATAATTCCATGTCCCCCATGCCTCAAATGGCCAATGGTGCCCCAAAATGCTTGCTAGACAAATACAACTGATAGACCCTCATCTGAGTTCCAAACCCAGGCAATGGAGCACAGGTGATCATCTCAAAATATAAGGTTGGAGTGGGACCAGACAAGTTTCACCTCTCTGAGACAGTTGTTGGAATCTGATGTGGACTCCATCTAGAATTTAGCTGTGGGCAAAGAAGAGAGAGCTAGAGCAGGGCTTCTCAGGTGACAGGCTGGGACAGTAGGAACAGGATGATGGTAAAGAGTGTTGGTGTGGGAGAGATGGGGTGGGCCCTGAAGGAAGAATCCAATAGCAGTGAAGGCAGAATTCTGCAAGCCCCTTCAGAAAAAAAGTCTTCACTTAGTTTCTTTTGCCAGCCCTGGAAGCCACGGATACCTACCCTGATAAGCCACTGACTGCCTTGCTCTTTTCTTTTCTTTCTTTCTCTCTCTCTCTCTCTCTCCCTCCCTTCCTTCATCCCTCCCTCCCTCCCTTCCTTTCCTTCCCCCTTCTTTTTTTTTCTCCCCTTCTCTCCTTCTTCCTTCCCTCCTTTCCTTTAAAGATTTTATATGTTTATTTGAAAGAGAGAGTTCATGTATGAGATAGAATGAGCTGAGGGAAAGGCAGATGGAGAGGGAGAAGCAGACTCCACACTGAGCAGGGAGCCTGATGTGATTCGATCCCAGGACTCTGGGATCATGACCTGAGCCAAAGGCAGATGCTTAACTGACTGAGCCCTTCAGGTACCTGAGCCAGTCACTTTTCTAACCAACCAGAAATTATCTAACAGGTCAGCAGGACAGTAGGGCTTTACCATTTTCTTCAGAAACCTTAGCCCACCTATTCTGGTTCCAAACTATATTGGCCATGGACTTTAATATTGCTTTGGATTATTTCTCTACATGCTCTATGTTTTTAAGACAAATACCTCATTTTCTATGATGAAAACAGAGAAAAAGGGAGGGAAAACCTAAGAGACTCTTAACTCTAGGAAACAAACTGAGGGTTGCTGGAGGGGAGGTGAATGGGGGGATGGGGTAAGAGGGTGATGGGCATTAAGGAGGGCACTTGTTGTGATGAGCACTGGGTGTTGTAGGCAACTGATGAGTCACTAAATTCGACCCTTAAAACTATTTAAAAATAAACAAACAACCCCCCCGCCGCAAATACCTCATTTTCTCAGAAGGATCATACCTCTCCTTTATGAGGAGAGACTCTTCATTCTCCTCTTTGGATATCCTTGTGGTAGTTACCACAATACTGGGCTAGATTGTTTTTCCTCAAGAGGAAACTGTACTGCAAGGCCAGGATGATTTCAGGGGAACTTCTCATATAGCTTAATGCCACAATAGGAGATAAGCTTTACTGATACCTCCTAACAGCTCATGATGTCAAAATGATACTAACACTGTGGGTTTCATGATTTAGGCTATAGGGGGTGAGAAACTACTTATGGCGCTACTTACCTGTTATTCCTGCAGCGAATTGTGAAGCCAAGAAAGAAGACTATCAGAAGAAGTCCACAGCTGAGAAAGGTCCAAACAATACCCAAGAGGACAGGAGATAATGAAGAAATGGTCTTACTGCTATAGTGGGAAGAGGTCTGAGAACAGAATAAAGAGAAACTGTTAGGAATGAAGGCTCTTTTATAGCTCAAACACGAACTGCCCCATCATTCCCAAAGCTGGGGAATATGTGTCCTGCATGAGCATTTCCTCTCCCTCTTCCTCCTCACTTCCTCCTCCTCCTCCCCCCCCATTTCCTCCTTTTCCTCCTCCTACTCCTCACCCCTACCACTGCACCACCACCACTAACAAGAGCAGCAACAACAACAAGGTGTATATCTGAGCAGCCCTGACAATTCATGGCTGTCAACTCACAATTGTCCTGCAGAGATCATGAAGAGGACTCCAACTCAGCTCCTCGCCAGGAATACTGTCACACAATTCAGAACAGTTTATTTCAGGCTCCATGTCATCACGTGCCCCTTTCTGTATGTACTTATTCACAGTCTTGGTTACCTGCTGGTTGTTAGCCAGCAGATCTTAGACTAAAACGCAAGAACAATTCAAATCTTTTCTTCAGAGGCACCATTTTGGAGCTGGTTCTTGGCTCAGAATCTGGGATGAACAACTGGTTCAGGTGGAAGTGAAGGGTTATTTCACCAGGATCCTTCATCAGACACCCTCCAGGCTCTCCGTGTGTCCCGCTGGCAGTGCATACCACAGGAGTCAAGAGCGGGCATCTTTGTAACCATTAGATCACACAAAGTGATGATTCTGGCTTGCCACCAGATGGCAGTCACTGCTCCAAGTACTCACACGGGTCCAGAAGGAAAGGAAGGCAATTAAACCTGTTAACAAACAAATTATGTGGTGTGTGTGTGTGTGTGTGTGTATATTACACACACACACACACACACACACACACACACACACATGCACACACATTACATATATAAAAACATATATAACATAAATTATATATATTATAATATATAATATATACAAGGTTTATTACAGAGGTTTAAGAATATTATTTTATACATTTTAATTATACGTAGTTATATTTTTATTTTATATATGTACTTTATTACATATAACAATGGCTTAACATATATTTAAATAAATATATTTTTAAGCCTCTATAATAAAAATATTTTAAAAATAAAGACAAAGCTCACTTAACAATTTATAGATATAAAGTTTAACAGTCTCTTTTCAGATCCTTTTTTTGGCCCAGCCTATAAGACCTTTAGTTTAATCATGTGAGGCCCATCTTCCTTTTTTTTCTCTTCTGGGAAATCTCCTGTCCTTCCAAGATCTTTCCATGCAACTTATGGCTTAAGCCCTGTCTGATCCTGAGTGGCAGTGGCCTTGGGTGACCCATGCTGTCTGCATGAAATGTCTTTCAGTCACTGGAGTTCTTGTTTACTCAGTAAGTAGAGGAACATCCCATGGCCAGGGAGCGGGGGTATCAGAATGATACAGAAACCCTTTGACAAAAGGATTTTGTTTGTTTTCAAACTTGTAGACTCCTAGAAGTGGGATTGCCTACTCAGGTAATAGGGAGAGAAACTGAGGAGCTCTAGGAATTCCTACAGTGTGAATGAGTGGTATTTCTCTTGGAAGATGCTTGCAATATGAATAGTGTGATCTAAAAAGAAGCTCAATTTACAGAACAAAAGTAGAAATGCAGAAAGGCTCAGATTACCCTCAACAGAAAAGGTAGACATGTTCTTAATTCTTCAAAGCAATCTATCCTTAAAAGACAAGACAGATTAGAAATTTTACCAATGGGAACTTTAAAGAGGGTGACACTTCTGTTTTGTGTTTCTGAAACGACTTAGCACAGTTTTCTTGTATTGTGGAGGGAAATTGGAACAGGAAAAAATATCAATTATTATTATCTCAATAGCCACTGAACATAGAACTTGTGTTTAAGCCAGAACAATAGTGACAGGTGTTGAATGCCATCTTTGGATTCTGCATGCTTAGGCATGAACAATATAGCACCAGGTGTTGCCCATTCATTGGCGTCTCATATGTTCCTGAATTATTTACCAGGTTCATTACAATGAAATCTCAAGAGAACTAAAAGCCACTATCTTCCATCAAGACATTTAAATTCTTGTACAGACTGTCCAATTACTGAATGCAAAATTAAGAACTAAATATACAAACGTGGCTATTTGCATCCTACTTCGGTTGAAATTTTTTTGCTGCAAAAACGATTTTTTTTTCCTTTTCCTCTTTGTAAGCTTGGATCTCCCTATTGTGTCCAATATTGTAAGCCCCAGGGAAGCTATTCTACATGAAGGACTGAAAGATTTATTTTTCCTACATTGCCCTTTTAATCATACTGACAAATAAATATACTTATATTTGAAGCATTATTAAAACCATGCTAGTTTATCCTTACATTATACATATAGAAGTACACATCAGTGTGTGTGAGTGTGTGTGTGTGTGTGTGTGTGTGTAAAACCCCATTCATTCTTACTACAACAATGTCATGTGAAGTAAACAACATCATTCCTCATTTTTAAATAAGAAAATTGAAGAGCAGAGTAGAGAACCTGGTTCCACATCTGCATAGGCAGCACTTGAACACAAGAATTTACATTCCAAGGTCAATATTCACCCACTGTCCACCGTACAGGGGACAAACTCTAAGCTGGCCTCTCCAAAGAAGACACCAAATGGCCTGCTGGGGGTTCTTCAGTTCCCTAAGTTTAACTTCTAGGAGTTCCCTGGAGTATGGCACATAATAGGGTCTCTATACCAGTAATTCTCAACCGAAGCAATTTTGTACCTCCAGAGGATATTTGGCAAAGTCTAGAGATATTATGGTTGTTGAAACTGAGATGGGTGCTACTGACATCTAGTAGGTAGAGGCCAGGGATGCTGCTAAGCATATCACAATTCGTAGAATAGTCCAAACAACAAAGAATTATCCAGCTCCAAATGCGAATAATGCTAAAGTTGAGAAACCTTGGTCAACACTCTGGATCTGGGAAGTACTAACAATCTCAAGCTCACATTATCTTTGGGAGATTCTGTGAATATGATGGGGTAGTACATATGAACATAAATTTCCTGGAGGATAAATTCCAATGGTTCCCTTGGACAGACTGAAATCATTGGCATGGAACTTTGAATGCTAAGCCCCCATTTGGTCCATGGATATCTAGTGCAGGAACTTACATACCATGATACTGGGTTCTGCCATGGAGCAGGTATTCAACTCCAACATTAGCACATATTCAGAGATTCATACATGAGGAGCTGGTGAAACAGTGAATGACTTAGTCATTGAGAGGAGAGTTGAATGATTTCAAAAAGTGTTGATTGGGAAATTGAGTAGGGAGTAGTGTGTCAGATAGCATAATGGTGAGGGATTTGACAACAAGATAGATACAGAATCCAAGGCACAAGGAGAAAGATCTGCTAGGCTCCCCAAGAGCAACCCTTTCCACACCCACCCACCCCCAATCTCTAGACGTAAACCATCTAGGCCACAGACATTAGGAGACCCAACACTCTACACACGGTGGGGCTTACAATTTATTTGACAGATTACAAAGTCCTGCCCAGTGATTAGGATCAGGAAAACAGGCAGTGTGTTAGCTATACTGTTGTCAAGTGTAGGATAGTCTATTACAACTTTGAATGGCACCATGTCTTTCCATAAAATCCCTCCCTTTTCTTCTATATATTATTTATGGCTATTGAAAAACTAGTCCTGCAACTACTGTCTGAAAAAGTTGTACAGTTGGTAGGACTTCTGCTTCATGAAGAATCAACTACTATAAGAATTGCCTTCCTACTGTAAACTATTTGAAAACTAGACAATAGACAGGAAATTGTTCTTTTCAGACACTGGATAGCAGTTATAGAACTGGAAAACAAGTGAGGTGAATCTTACAATGATGGACATATATATAAAAAAATATAAAAAATATTCTTTCAGTGATGATAATTGACCTGAAGTTATTGCCTGGAGGCAGTTTCCAGGCCACATCCCAGGAAGGAAACCCAAACATAATCTACAGCTTGCTGAGGGAAGGAGAATAGATTAGAGTTTGGGGAGGTCAAAGCAATTAGAATTTATAAGGTAGAGGAATGAAGAAGAGGAAGATACAAAGAGAGAGAGGGCTTTGGAAACCTGAAAGGTAGCTCCTTAGTCTTTGTCTGAGTACTGAACTAGGCATGAATGAGAAGAACCTACTTGAGGTGGAAGACAACCACTAGGAAGTAACTGAACAATTCCTGGATCTCACACAGGGCTAGGAATGCTTTGTGTTCCTACCAGCCAGAATGGAGAAGCCTCACATTATATGACATTCAAAAGAATCTTCAGAAAGGTCATATCTTAGTAGTGGAAGTAAATACTAGAAGCTACTCTAGTCTAGGTACTACTGGACTCTAGTCTAGTCTTTTGGGAAGACCTGTCCTAATAATGCTTAAAAGAAAGCCCCAAAAGGATGAAATTCATCCACAAAAAACTGAACTGTTTTCCAGAACACAACCCAATGCCCTTTAAAGGAATACAAGATGCAGTACTCAAAAACATAAAACTCAAAACCTCCATCATCAAACAAAAAATTACCAGGCATGCAAAGAAGTAATAAGTATAACTTATAACCATACATAAAAAAAAAAAAAAAAAAAATCAATTGGGACACCTGGTGGCTCAGTTGGTAAAGTGCCTGACTCCTGATTTCAGCTCAGGTCATGATCTCAGAGTTATGAGATTGAGCCCTGAAGTGGGCTCTTTGCTCAGTGGGGAGTCTGCTTGAGATTCTCCCACTGCTCTTCCTCCCCGTCCACTCTCTCTAAAATAAATATACTTAAAATATATTATAAATATATTTAAAAAAATAAAAGTCAATAAAAACAAATATAGAAATGATATAATCAGTACAGAGGGAACTTTAAACAACTATTATAAGTATGATCAAAGATATGAAACAGAACATGAACAAAATGAGGGGAGAAGTGAACAATATAAAAAAGACCCAAATAGAATTCTAGAGATAAAAATATAATCCTGAAATTAAAAATACAATAGATTAGATGCTACAAAGATAAAATAATGGTTAGAGACAAAGCATTAGAAATTATCCAAAATGAAGCACAGAGAGAAAAACAATTGATAAGAATGGACATAGCCTCAGTGACTTAATGGAACAACAGCAAGTGCTCTAATGTACACATAAATGGATCCCAGGGGATAAAAGTGGGGGAGGGAGGAAATAGAAGAAAATATTTGAAAGAAATCATCAAAATTTTTTCACATTTGATAAAACGTATATACGTCCAGATCAAGAAGCTCAACCAAACCCAAGCAGAATAAATGTTAAAACACACATGCATACATTAATATACATTATAAGGAAATTACTGAAAATGTGCAATAAAGTCTTAGATGCAGCTAGATTATGTACAGATGAATAACAGTAAGACTCACA